AGTTACTGGTTTGGGTTTTTAATGTTATTAGCGAACTTGGATATACTATAACAGATATATTTGGGCTAAAACAGGTTTGTCAAGTGTTGTACTAAATTAAAAAAACACAACAAACAAGACGTATTACACCTGTACCTCCCAGAAGTGTGAGTTGATTACATAATCTCTCTCTTAATACCAGAGGCACAAATAAAGTAGAAAAAAAAATCAATTGTAACTTTATAATACACAGTCACAGTCAGTAACAAAACAGTAGCAAACCACAGAGTCTTCATTTCCAGCTTCACCAGGCTCAAGGAGCGGACACACTTTGGATGACACCAACATTCTTCTCCGAAAAGAACAAGAGTCTGAAGAGCACAGTATGAATTTGAAAGAGACTATGTGTTTCTCCTGCTGTTTTCTGCAATTACTGCTTGAGCAAGGGTTAACTTTAATTTATTAAATAGTTACTGGCAATCCTGAGGAAGAAGCATTGCTCTTTAAGCCATTTATTCTTTGTCCATATAAATTAACAAAAATCAGTCACTGTCATTTTACCAGTGTAGACACTGCTCAGACTTTGATCAGGTTGTCTCTCAGTTTAGATCATATCCTCACTTCAGGCTCTGTCTATTCTCTGCCAATGATTCCCTCTCTGCAGCTTGTATTTTTGAGGCACTGTGCCCAGAACTTAACGTTGTGGGCACTCCTAACAGTTTGGAAGAACATAAACTGTCTGGGGCTGGATAATGAGAACGTTTTCTAGAAGACCGCTGCCTGCATCAATTCTTAGTTAAGTCTGAGGGGGTTTTGCAATACAGTATGCAATGGTTCAAGCTTACGGTAAAGGAAAGGGAAAAAAAAAAAATCAAGCTTTCTCACTAGCTGCCTATTGAAAATAGTTTCAACACAACTCATCAGCACGCTTCCAGCAGAAGCCGGTGTGAATGAATAAATACAAACTGAGCAAAAATATTGTGAACACACCACTTAGCAATCCTACAGTATTTATGGCAACTTCTTAAGTGTTTGGTAAACATTTATGCTTCAGAACCTGTGAAATAGAAAGGACTAAGGGTGGGAAAGAGCTTAAAATCTTTCAAGAAGCAGCAAAGCCACAGTGGGTTTGGAGAGATAATGAGTGTACTTGAACACTTACTCTTAAGACCTCTGTCACAAAAATCCTTATGTGAAGATAACTGATAACAAAACATTTGCAGAAACTAGACATATTTCAATTACCAATGAAAAATACAACTGTTTTAAAAAGTGAGAAGGGAAATGAGAGGATCGTAATGGCTCTCATAACAGTTTCTGGGAAAGAAAAGACTATCCAGAAAAGTGGAGAAAAGGCAAGTGGGTGCATTCATTGGTAGAAAGGTAAAAAATTGGTGGAATGTAATTTGATATGGAAGAAAGTGAGTTGGAGCCACAAACCAACCTAGGGAACCAGATGGTTCTGAAAACACTGCAAGGACATTGTTCTTCAAAACATCCATTCACCTTGGCTTCAGAGCTGAATCCTCTGTCTGCCCAGTACAGCTGAAAGCTTCTAATCAATGATGTATACAGACGATGGCCAAATATCAGTTACAAGCATTACCTCATTCAAAATGAAAAAAACGAGGGCTAAAAACAGGCAACCAAGGCAGTTTAACTTGAGAACAAGTCATTCCTAAAATAAATGTTCAAAATTATGAAAGGACTCTTGGTATTCCCAAAACTGACATGCTTTGCTGAAGTTTCCTGTGGAATTTCAGTACCGGTGAATCAGTGGAGATTGAGAGCAGTTTCAAAATCTAAGGGCATCCATAAAGTGGACGCAATGCATTCCTCCTTCACATTAGCAATTGTACATTTAAAGAGAAAACTCCTTTGTAGAAAGTAATATGAGGACTATAAGAGGGCTTTACCACAGTGAAAATTAAATGAGGGGAAACCAACCAGTCACAGTCCTATTTTTCCAATGTAACTACTCAAGATACACGATTTTATAAAGAATTTCGTTCCAAGGATCATATTAGAGAAACTCTGACATTTTTCTCCACCTTTCATCATCTTTCTAGCAAGCTGATGGGGTGACTGACAAACAAGTGAATAACTCGACTTTTTGGTGACCCTCTGCAGTGAATACTGTGCGTATTTGCAACCAGCTATCCCAAGCCTTATTGTTAAATTTGCAGTAAGCATATAATAATAAAAATACCCAAGAACAAAATAAAAAGTTGCAAAAAGTAAGAAAGGCATAACTGGGGTGTGTGCGGGTACTTTGTTTGTTTGCTTAAGAAGAGGAGTCCCCAGCCAACAGCACTTCCATCAGTCTCAGGGGGATTCTCTGTGAACTAATTAATGAAGAATTGGATGCTCACAAGGACAAACTCAAAACAATTGAAAAAGCTAGAAATCCTTTCTATTACATAACTTGTCTGGCTGATTCCAAATCAAAACACAGGCTGAGATCCAAACTGGAGGAAAAGGCTAACAGAATATAGTTCCTCTTGTTTTCCCTTTGCATTTAACACCGAAGAACTCAGTGTCTAACCTCATTTTTTGTTTGCATAGGCAACTACATCTCAGGCCACTGCAAAACGGTAAACTGTGGAAATAAAAACACACAGCTCAATTCAGAATGAGCACATTTGAGAAGACTCACTACAACTGACAACCTCAGGATCCAGCAAGTTCCCAATACAAACTGTTTTTTCTGATTACAAAAAACACTGTCAAGAAGAGGTGTTAAAAATAATTAAATTGGTACAGGAGTTCTGAAATCCAAGGAGATCCCAGCTGATGACAGGTCCCTCATCAGACCAGACTCGCTGGCAACACACTGTGTACAGTAAAGTACCTGCAAGTGTTCCATGTTGGTAATATCATACGTGACTTCATAGAGTGGATAAATAATTATTTAGGAAGCAAATCCATGTTCACATACTTCTCGAAATAACTCTGACCAGAGCCTGGGAATTGCCAGCAAATGCCTTTAAAGCAGGCAACAATATCCTTTCAGAATGTCTCTTGTTAAAGTAAAACTTTTGTACAAAGGAATTAAGTCTCTCTACAGACAAAACCTAAAAAATATGAAGCAAGTACAAACAACACAACCTTTGCCAATGCAGGTCTGCAGAACCCAGAAGAGCAACATCTCAATATGGTGTAAATAATTGCAATTATCACAACAATGTTAGCTATTGTGTTTCTCATGTCAGGAAAGAGACTGAAGATTACAAATATGCACAATCTACTGAAGTGATTTTTCATTTTAATGCAACAGGTAGATGACAGTAGAGAGAGCAATTGCTGCTTGCTTTTAATTCGGTCAAGAGAGCTAAAGGAACTAGGCCAAGACCCAGAAAAACACACAATCATACACTGAACCAGTGGAGAACAGTCAGCTAAAAACACCTCAAAGTTGAACAAAAACAATCACCTTTTCAAACATCAGTCTGACCTGAAGATCTGTACAAACCAGTTTCATACACCTCTGCCAAACTAGAGGTGTCTTACTTCCCACAGCAGTATGTTTTCAAAACTTCAGCTCCTTTCCAGCAAGTTAACATATGCAACAAGACTTAAAGCAAAACATGAAGTTTATACGCGTTGCCCTGTGCCCAATGCTTATTTCTACATAGCAGGATTCATAGCTTTAAAAAACACAATGCCAACACTGTTCTCCTTCTCTACACCAGCAGAATGTTCCATACTAAAACCAATGTGTCCCAGCTGCAGGATCCAAGAGAGCTATCCAACCTGGACATGTATTCAGCATTTCTCTCCCTCTCTTGTTTTGGGTTGGTTTTTTTTAAAGTTTCCATCCGACCCTCAGCTCTAATCCTGACTATTCAAGAGGCACAGGTGGTTACATATCTGGGACTAGAGACAGTTCTCAAATTTATTAAAAATTTAAAAATTAAGCTGCTCTGGAAAGCCTACGGTTAATGCAAAGTGTACTTTCTGGTCCTAATCCAGTGACAAGTGAGCATTTGTCCATAGCATAACACAGCCAGATTTCAGCACAGTTCAACATAAATTGCATTCTCTGTTCATGTAAGGCCAACATTCAGAAGAGAATGAAGTTCTGCACTTCCAGATAGGGAGATATTAATGAGGCAGCTGATGGCCATGAAGGTCAGCAATAACAGGAAAAGTACTGACACTGGATTGAAAGAAAAGAAAGGAGATAAAAGAAAGAGTAGAAAGGATTTGTGTAATTTCTGTTAACGGTATGTCTGGCTCTGCTTGGTGTAAACACCACCTGAATTCTAGGGTCAAGATGCATCAGGAAAAAAGAGAAATTATGTTTCACTTTAAAGAAAAAAAATCAAACAAAGAGTTAGTAGATATATGATAGTTTTAAATAATTTTTAATTGCTAATGTTATCTATTTTCCTGTCTGCTGTTAAAAATAAATTACTATCAAAAGAAGGGAAATATAACACACTGTAGTTTGCTGACTTCTTAATGACAGTCTTAAGGCCCTCTTGCTCTACTACTACAAAAGTTAGTTTGCTAATTTACTGGAAAAAGGAGAAATGTAAAGAAAACAAGAAGGAAAATAGACTGCTCTATACAATGATGGCTTACATGCCTCTACATGAGTAGTTCTATAGCAGTTACAAAAACCTTCATGAAACCTTAGTGTATTTCAATCAAAGCAAGTGGGAACCTATGTATAGTTATTCTCAACAAAGTCTGTAGTTTGTTTATAGAAAACCGTTTTCAGGTTTCCAAGAGTAAGCCCAGAAAATCTACTGGGAAAAGTAGTACTACATTACTACACAGCGCATGCAGGTGAAAACTCACCCAAAAGATAGCTTTGTCTTAAGATCCCCAGTAAATTTTCAGTTTCAATCTTTGGTCATAGATTATCCTGACAACGATCCTACACGCGACTTCTCTTTGCACTTTTGACATTCCTTCTGCACATCCCCTCACCCACCAACCCCCCTTGCCCCACAACTTCCACGAGTCCAAAGAGCATCCCAATGAAACCGGGTGACCTCACCTTTCATTTTGACAGTGGGAGAATTGGGTCCAGCCGATTGCTTCCTCCATCCTCTCCAGTTCTGGCAAAGGCTCTCTGCCTCAGAGATGAAGGAACAAAGAGAGTCTTCTTCAAAGCGATCGGAGTCTTCAAATGAAAACCTCTCCCCGTCCTCCCACTCTGCAAACATGAGTTCCATCACATCCGACAGGCGACGTGGGGGGAAAAGAAGAAAGACAGTAACAGCACTGCTCACTTTTAACAGGTGGATGGACTTGAGGGCTCCTGCAACACTTAAAATCTCAATTCTGATTCGATCCCCATACTATAGTACCAGGAAAAACAGAGCCAGCGCTATCTGAGGTGGGAGAAGCAGGAAATCAACTAAGGGGAAGCTCATAAAAATCCCAGAAAAAACCCAAGTTCTTTAAAAAGTTAAAAAAATGCTCATGTCCACAAAATGTACTTGAGGCGGAGGGGGTCTGGTTGGTCTACGAGAGCTGCCTCCAGGCGGGACAGGTGCCTGCCGGCCACACGGAGGGTCTGAAGGCTTCCGACGCCAACGGCCCCGGCGCTGGACGACGAGGGAAGGGGCCGGTTTCCTTCTCCGGGGCTCCCGCTGGGGGAAAGCAGGTATCTGTGCGCAGGGCCAGGTCTCCCT